CAGGTTTGATTCTGGTCAAGGGCCTGTACCTTGGTTGCAGACACAGCCCCAGTAGAGGGTGTTCAGGAAGCAGCTGACCAATGTTTGTCTCTCATTGGTGTTTCTAACTCTCTCTGCCTCTCCCTTCCTCTCAAAAAAAAAAAAAATCAATAAAACATATTTTTTAAAAGTTGTAAAGATTTTTTTATAATTTTACATTAAGAATGTGATCAGCAATGACTTAGACTTATGGAATTCACATGGTGTGACAAAAAAGTTTGGGCCCTCAAACACTCACAAACACAATAACATTCAAGAGAATAACCATTTTTGTATGTTAGTGCAATAGGAATTTTTGCAATTTAACCTTAGAGAGCTATTCTCTCATTTTTCAGTCATCAGGTGTGTAGGCCAAAGATAAAGATTTTGTTTATGGCAAATATGTCACAAGGAGCCATGAAATCATTACAGTAAGTGTTGTATGATTGACAAGATCTTTTATACTTTTACTTTTAAAATTTGGGTTTTTTTCTTTATTGGTTTTTAGAGAGAGGAAGGGAGAGAGAGATAGAAACATCGATTGGCTGTCTCCTGCATGTCCTCTACTGGGGATCCAGCCCACAGGGATCGAACTAATGACCTCTTGGTCATGGGTCCATGTTTAACCACTGAGCGGCACCAGTTAGGCTCTTTTACACTTTTATTTTGAAGCACGGAAGATTAAAAGTAGATGTCACAATGGTCATGCCAACAAATCCACAGAAAAAAGGGGGTGTTCAGCAAACTACATTTTTCTATAGATATGTGAGGCAGAAAATACAAGGGTAATTTTTACAAATCAATCAAACCAATAGTACCATAAATAATAACAGAGAAATGAAAATTAAAGATTTCTTAAGTCTCATACCAAATCCTAACAGTGCATTTTAAGCATTTTAAAGATATCCTACTAGAATACATCGTGGTTTTACTTCCGACTTCTAATTAGAAAGATGGCTGTCTCACGCTGTATATTTTTTATTCCCTGAGAGATTGCAATGGTGAAACTATAGAAACACAAGGAATGCTCATCATCTGGAAATAAACTTAAAACATATGTTGTCATGCAAGAGAGCTCAGGAAATTCACAGTGTCATAGATGAAAGAACAGGCTTTTTTAGGAACTTGAAAGCCAAAAGTTTGCAAGAGAAGGCACAGGGGATACAGTGAGCCCTGGGTACTCTGTTGCACATGTCATAAGTGAGCATTCCATTGAAGGGGCATCCTCTCTTCTTTTGCTTTCTCTTAAGACCAAGATGGTGAACATCCTTATCAAGGGAGTCCACATAGACTACTTGGTATCAGGCTGTCTGGTTTTAGATGTCAACTCAAGAATTATCTGAGAGAACCAGATGCCTGTATCTGGACTCCTTGGGTGCCAATGGAAAGTTTCAGCCCCTCCTGCTGAGAGGGAGAAAGCCACCAGTGCCATGGGAAGCCGAATTTGGAAGAAATAGGGAGGCTTTTGATCACAGTTGGTTCATTGTTTAGGCAACCCAGAGTAACCTGCTGGGGTCATCTACAGACTGTCCTGTCTGTTTTACCACTGGCATTAGTCAGTAGTATCATCCTTTTTATATAAAAATTTTATATAAAATTTAGGGCTCTGGCCCTAACCAGTTTTGCTCAGTGGATAGTGTTGGCCTGTGGACTGAAGGGTCCCGGGTTCTATTCCTGCCAGGGCCACATGCTCAGGTTGCAGGCTCTACCCCCAGTAGGGGGCATGCAGGAGGCAGCCTATCAATGATTCTCATTATTGATGTTTCTATCTTTATCTCTCCTTTCTTCTCTGAAATCAATAAAAATATATTAAAAATAAAATAAAGTTTAGGATTCTGTTTTTTTTGTTGAAATTTTAAGGTGACTACTTCTGCTATAATTGTTTGCAATTCTTAATACCTTTTATAGGCCTTCTATTTTATGTCATTTAAACAAAATTTAAATATTTTAAGAGTTGACATTTTATTAAGAATTTTAAATATTCAGCGAAACTGGTTTGGCTCAGTGGATAGAGTGTCGGTCTGCGGACTGAAGGGTCCCAGGTTTGATTCTGGTCAAGGGGATGTACCTTGGTTGCAGGCACATCCCCAGTGGGAGGTGTGCAGGAGGCAGCTGATAGATGTTTCTAACTCTCTATTTCTCTCCCTTCCTCTCTGTAAAAATCAATAAAATGTATTTAAAAATTAAAAAAAAAATATTCAGTGTCCTGACTTTGGCTAGAATAGTTCTCTTTGGCGTTATTCATTGCCATCTGCTGGAGAAGAGAAGAAGTGCAATTGCACACTTTTCAATCAGGTAGTAAGACCTGTTCTCCTAAGCCAGTGGTCTGCAAACTCATTAGTCAACAGAACCAAATATCAACAGTACAACGATTGAAATTTCTTTTAAGAGCCAAATTTTTAAAACTTAAACTATATAGGTAGGTACAATGTTACTAACTTAATTATGGTACTCCTGAGCTGGCCTTTGCTAAAAATTCAAAGGACCAAAGAACTACCGTTTGCCGACCACTGCCCTAGGTGAAGGCAGAGGAATGTGTGCTTTGTACTCAGGCCGTAATAGATTCTCTTAACTTTCTAATCCTGGCTTGTGTCCTGAGACTTGCAGCAGTCTCTTCACCCCAGGGAATGGGAAGTGTGGGAGTGGGCAACACAGTGAGCTGGGATAACAGGGTAGTCCACCTACTGATTCTGGGCTGGGATAACAGTAGTTCTGAGAGCCAGGAGAAGTGTCTGTGGTGATAATATTGGCTGCTTCAATATCTACTCTTATTAGGAACAGAGCAGCTTGGATATGTTTCTATATCCTGTGGACATGTTAGGTTTACTTACTTAGGCTAATGTTATAGAACCTGAGGATTGAAAGTTACAGAAAATTACTTTCGAGTCTGTTCTTGTAGATATAACATTAGGTTTATAAGCAAGAGCATCAGTCTGAGGACTAAAGGGTCCAGGGTTTGATTCAGGTCAAGGGCACATGCCCAGGTTACAGGCTCAATCACTAGTGGGGGGTTATGCAGGAGGCAGCTGATCAATGGTTCTCTCTCATCATTGATGTTTCTATCTCTCTCTCTCTCCCTGTCCCTTCCTCTCTGAAATCAATAAAAATATATTTAAATAGACCGCGGCGGGGAGCGGGCGGCCTCGGGCTCGGACCCAAGCGGCGGCTGCCGGGCGCACCATGGACTCGGCCCCCGGAGGGATACGAGCTCAACGGTGACCTGCCGCCGGACTCGCCCGGCGCCCCGGATACCCGGCCCATCAGCGTGAACCACTACACCAACAAGAAGAGCGCGGCCGAGAGCATGCTGGACATCGCCCTGCCCATGGCCTACGCCTCGCAGCTCAAGGCCGTCATCGACCAGGGCCCCGGCTTCGTCTTCTTCGCGCCCCTGGTGGCCCTCATCTCCCTCTCCCTGGTGCGGCAGATCAGCGTGGGTGTGCTGCTCCTCTTCACGGTCAGGTACGACCTCAACAACCCAGCCAAGCACGCCACGATGGACTTCCTCAACAACCTGGCCACCGGCCTCGTCTTCATCATCGTGGTGGTCAACATCCTCATCACGGCCTTCGGCGTCCAAAGGCCGCGGCAGTAGGCTCTGATGCCCGACCGACGCCGCCACCACCACACAGACCCCAGGACCTGCCTCGGCCTGGGCGCTGCACCCCGAGAACGCCAGAGCCAGGACTGGGCTGGAGGACACTGGCCAGTGAGTCTTGCTCCATCCGTGGCTTCTCCCCCTGATGCAGGGGCAGAGAGGCCAGAGGCGGAACGACCCCAAGGAGAGCCGTGGCCACAGACACGCGGCAGGCTTAAGGAGGGCGGTCAGGCCAGGGCCAGCCCTCGTCTTGGGCCATTTCCAAAAGGACAAGGAGATGCCTCTCGGCCAGCACACCGCCAAGGCCCTTCCTGCCTAGGACCGACCCCCCCACCAGCAGCTTCCCAGGCCCCGCCCTCCCCGTCCCCAGCCCCGCTTTTCTAAGCACAAATGACCAATAAAACGATTGCTCCTCAAAAAATAAAATAATAAAATAAAAAATAACATATATATTTAAATATATATATGGATAGATAGATATAGATAGATAGATATTTCCTTGGATGAGGATTAACAACAACAAAAAGAATCAACCAATGGATGCATAAATAAGTGGAACAACAAATCAGTCTCCCTCTCTCAAATCAATAAGCAAAAAAAATTTTTAATAGAATAAAAGTCTGTCTTTAAAACTAGGTTTTTTGATACAAGAGAAATTAATAATTTATTCTCAGAATTTTATTTTTAAAAATACTAATAATGCAAGAAATAAAATTAAAATGTTCTCCTGAATCCACTGTAAGTGAAATAAGACTCATAAGAATCATTCAAATTTTTAGACCTTTCTCAATAGAATATATTACTTAATAATGATATTTTTTAAAAATATATATTTTATTAATTTTTTAGAGAGGAAGGGAGAGAGATAGAAACATCGATGAGAGAGACGCTCTATCCACTGAGCCAAACCAGTTTCAGCAATAATGAGATATTTTTACAAAAGTAAAATACTATTATGAAAAATAGGTGTGACTTTATTAAATTTGACCTTTTTTAAAAAAAAATCTCACTAAATAATTTAAAATTATCTTTTGCACTAAAAAAAGCTGTGAGCATACTATTAATTTTAATTTTAAATTTAATTTTAATTCATAGGGTAATTTTTTTTCTTCTTTTTAAGAGAGCAAAAAGCAGGACAAGTTTAAATTCTGGGACTCTAAGCTAAATTTCAGAAAGGCTTCATGGTATTAAAATGACCTTATAAACGATGCCTGCCTGAGGGGTTCCCAAATACACCGAAGGCTGTAGTAGCTGTGAAGCTGGACACTGCTCTGCACATGGGCATTTGGCAAGGACCCTGAGGTCACAGCCTGGTTTTGTGACGTGGAGACAGTGACTCCAAAGTGATGCACGGGCGTCACTTCCGTCCAGGCAGGAAGCCAAGATGGCCGCGCTCCTGTGGAGACCTGTAGGCCGTTATGGCCTCCGCGGCCGCCTCGGTCCTCAGCTCTGTATCAGGCATGCTGTTCCTTTGGGAACCTCAGCCAAGGAAGACATGGAGAGATACCGGAATAAGAGTGCTGGCTTAAACCGCCCCATTTCTCCGCACGTCACGATCCACAGTTGGTCTCTGCCCATGGCCATGTCCATCAGCCACCGCGCCACTGGCATTGCCTTGAGCGCAGGGGTCTCTCTCTTTGGCCTGTCGGCGCTGCTGCTCCCGGGGACCTTTGAGTCTCATCTGGAGCTGGTGAAGGCGCTTTGTCTGGGGCCGGTGCTGATCCACTCGGCCAAGTTTGCTCTCGCCTTCCCTTTCATGTTTCACACCTGGAACGGGATCCAGCACTTGATGTGGGACCTGGGAAGAGGCCTGACGACCCCGCAGGTGACCCGGTCCGCGGTGGCCGTCCTGGTCCTCAGCGTGCTGTCCTCGGCGGGGCTGGCGGCCCTGTGAAGAGCCCGCAGCTCCTCCGTCCCAGGTGATCAGTGACTGCCTGTCCTCCGCTCTCCCCTGCTCAGACCGTGTGCTTGCGCTGTCCCTGGAGCTCAGCTGCAGAAAGGGTCCCAGGATCCCCTTGTTTCTAAAGATGGGGTGGCTGCAGCAGCTCCCTCTTCCTGCCCTCCCTTGCAGCCCTTATTCTCTCCATATTGGGCCTTGATTTGTGCTGAGGGTCAGCTCTTGGCTTCGCTTCCTGAGACGGTGGACACAAAGCCAGCTCTCTGGCCTCCACCATACAGACTGGGAGTGGGGCTGTGGGTTAAGGTGACCAGATTTTTACCAAAACATTGGTAAAGCGGGACACCTTTGACGGAGGGGAGGGGGGAGAGGGAAGAAGGAAGGGGAAGGAGTGAGGAGCTGGGAGGGTGTGTGTGTGTGTGGGGGGGGTGTTCTTGATTAAAAATTTGGTCTATATGTTAATAGCATGAAAAGACATAAGTCCTTCTGCTAATGCTAATTTCTTTTCTTCGTCCCCATTAGTTGTTTTCCGAAAAAATTCCTGTATTTTGGAGGAAGATGCAGCAGTATTTAAATATCTTTTATGAAAAAAAATAAATATCTTTTATGTTTCTATGTCTCCAAGTGCTTTAAAATATCATTCTTCCCAACATGCGAGATAGAAAATTCACCATTACATTTCTCACATTTTACCATGTAATCGCTTTTGGTTCTTTTAATAAAAGGAAATTCACTTCTTAGATCATCGTTGAATTTGCATCCTCTTTTCTTACTCATTATGTTAAAAATCTAAAAAAAAAAAAAAAATCTAAAAAATATAATTTAAAATTATAAATTATATACATATTGCTTAAAAACACAGTAAGTAGGTACATAATTACATGAACATATTTTATTGTTAGTTTATAAATTAAATTAATTTGATCGTTATAAAGTAACTATATTTTAAAAATTATTTAAATTTTAATCCTATATTTCTTTCTAAATAATAACAACACTATTTTGTATTATTTTTCCTCTGAATTGCCGTAACGTGTCACTTTCAAGGCCGGCGCTAGACTTTTTCCGCCACTATAAAATATAAATAATACGAGTACTGTCTGCTAAATTCAAGAAAATTTATGTATTTATGAAAATAAATAAATAAATAAATTACCTAAATTATCTGACTAGCTGATTTGTAATGACATCACTTGTTTAGCTAGCTTACTAGCATGCAGTACGATGTGTACCATCTGAGAGACAGTTACAAAATGTTTTCATCGTTGCCAATGCCAAAAAAATGCCATTGTTCATTAAGTCCAAACAATAGTGGTTGAATTCTAACAACTGATCAACAATGCGAACTTTGATAAACAGTTTTCGATAATCAGTTCTCAACAATTATTTGTTATTATTAAAGTTTAACATTATAAAATTAACAAAAATAATATAAAACTCATATCCTGGCTAAATAGCCACCTGGCCCCCCAAAATCATATATTCCCTTTCCATTCTCCTGCCAGTTGCCTAGATTGTTGTGCATTCTTTCCAAAAATCAGGACTTTTTTAAAACGCCGAGGGACGAGGGACATATTGTTAAAAATCGGGACGTCTGGTTACCTTACTGGGGGTGCCACTGCCTGTGGGTTGTGGCTTTAAGGACAGTTCTGTCCACTGGTCAGACCCAGGGTCCTCGGCACCCACGTGGTGGGAGATTCAGCCTGTCCCGGCCAGAGGGGGAGACAGAGAGGGTGGGTTAGCTTTTGAAGCAGGTGCTTTGGGGAGAAGATATATAGTTTTTGATACAAGAGAAGATCCAAAAAAGTATTGCTGTGAAGGGTTATTTCTTTCCCTTGCAATTCCAGAAAAACAAGCCTCTAATTGTCATGTTTTTAATCAACATTCATGCGACATCTTTTTCTGAAAATAATTAAAATATTAATTTTGTGGATAGAGCGTCGGCTTGGGGACTGAAGGTCCCAGGTTTGATTCCGGTCAAGGGCATGTACCTTGGTTGCGGGCATATCCCCAGTAGGGTGTGTGCAAGAGGCAGCTGATCGATGACTCTCTCTCATCGATATTTCTAACTCTCTATCCCTCTCTCTTCCTTTTTGTACAAAATCAATAAAATATATATATTAAAAAAATATTAATTTTGAAAAATAAATAAAGTGATGAATGGTAAGGATTTTATATTCCGTCTGCAAATCATGCTGGGATCTCTTGGTAAAAGATAAAAACGATTTGTTCTCACATGTTGCCTTGCCACTGCCACTGATTATTAATTTTGTGGGAGTTTCTTGATGGAAGACATTCAAACACATTTGTGAATGAGTCACAAATATTATTACACTGATGCTTTGGAAAATATAATTCTATTATTATATGTGAAAATCAAGTCATTGTCTTTCTTACTCTTCCAGAAATAGACATATATTCAAAGGAGGGGAAAGAACAAATCAGAAGAAAAAGACACCTCTTGGTACCCCTTTGATAGGAACTTTCCTCCAACTATAAGACTATTTGCCCTGCCGAGACCGGTTTGGCTCAGTGGATAGAGCGTCGGCTTGGGGACTGAAGGGTCCCGGGTTCGATTCCGGTCAAGGGTATGTACCTTGGTTGCGGGCATATCCCCAGTAGGGGGTGTGCAAGAGGCAGCTGATCGATGACTCTCTATCATCGATGTTTCTAACTCTCTCTCCCTTCTTCTCTGTACAAAATCAATAAAATATATTAAAAAAAAAAAAAAAAAAGACTATTTGCCCTAAGTTATTTGTCTCAGTGGATAGTGTCAGCCTGCCAACCAAAGGGTCTTGGGTTCAGTTTCGGTCAAGGGCAAGTACCTTGGTTGCACGTTCCTCCAGGCCCTGGCCCTGGTTGGGGCTCATGCAGGAAGCAACCAATCAATGTGTTTCTCTCACATTGATGTTTCTCTTTGTCTTTTCCTCTTTCACTCTCCTTAAAATTTATCAATGGAAAGCCCCAAACCGGTTTGGCTCAATGGATAGAGCATTGGCCTGCAGACTGAAGGGTCTCAGGTTCGATTCCGGTCAAGGGCATGTACTTTGGTTGCAGGCACATTCCCAGTGGGGGGTGCCGCAGGAGGCAGCTGATTGATGTCTCTCTCTCTCATAGATGTTTCTAACTCTCTATCCTTCTCCCTTTCTCTCTGTAAAAAAATCAATAAAAATATATCTTTTTTAAAAAAGAAAAGGACAAGTACCATATGATTTCACTTATATGTGGAATCTAATGAATAAAATAAGCTTACAAACAAAATAGAAACCAACTCATAGACAAGAGAACAGACTGACAGCTGTTAGTGGGGAATGGGTGTATGAAAAAGGTGGAAGGATTAAGGGGGGAAAAACACCTCACAGTCACAGACAACAGTAAGGTGATTACCAGAGGGAAAGCAGGGTTGGGGGAAGTAGAAGAGGATAAAGGTAGACTAAATGACAAAAAGAGACTTGACTATGGGTGATGAGCACACAATACAATATACAGATTATGTATTATAAAATTATATAGGTTATACCTGAAACCTATATAATTTTATTAATGTCGCCCCAATAAATTCAATAAAATTTTTAAAATATGAAATTGCCGCCTAAATTAATCATGCCTAAGATGATTTTCACATTCTTTTTTGAAAATCAAATTCTGTACAGTCATAGAATTAATTTAGAAATGACATGGTGTGTTTTTTCTTCCAGGACAGTTTGCTAATTCAAGCTGAAGCACTCAAGTTAAGGAGGTTAACAAAGGCCCAGAAGACAAAAATTAAGCAAAGCAAATAGTTCTTGAAACCCCAATTTAAGAAAGATAAAGAAGCAGCAAAGAAATCAGAAGACACATGACAGCATATGAGGTATTTATGACAGTATTTTTGTTTACATATTTAGCTTTTTTAATTTCATGCATTATGTAGCTTGTACTCTGGTTTTGAAATTGTAAAACATGTGTTTGTTGTGTCTGTGCTTAGAAATATAAAAAAGAAACAACTCCCCTTGCTTGTCACTTACATGTGCAGGATCACTAACTCAGATGCCGCTTGGCCAGTCCCAGTGGCCATGAAAGGTTCAGCGGCCTTTGGACTCCACTGTTTGTTGCCAAGTGAAGTGCAGGGCATTCCACATATTTGGAACACTGTGTTGGTTTAGGCTCTCCCAAAAGCAGGCGCTGAGAAAAGATTTGGGTGCAAATGTCTATTTGGGAAGGATTTCAGGGAACTCAATGAGGAAGTAGGGCAGTGATGTGGCTGATGCCATTTGGCAGCCAATAAAAGGAAGGAGAGAGGTTGGCTTTTCTTTTCAAAATAAGTATTTTGAGGTTTCAGTTATTAACAGTAAACATATTTAAGCTTCTTAGTAATTGTTTACAGACAGCGGAAATTTTTTTTCTAATTATGCTCTGAAGCCAGATGTAAAAAAGGCTTTTTTTTTTTTTTTTTTTTTTTAGCCCTAGTCAGCTTGGCTCAGTGGATAGAGAATAAGCCTGAGGACTTAAGGATCCCAGGTTCGATTTCGGCCTAGGGCACATGCCTGGGTTGCAGGTTCAATCCCCAGAAGGGGGCGTGCAGGAGGCAGCCAATCAATAATTTTCTCTCATCATTGGTGTTTCTGTCTCTTTCTCCTTCTTCTTTCCTCTCTGAAATCAATAAAGAAATATACTTTAAATATAAATAAATAAAACAGGCTTTTTTCCTTCCTTTTAGACATAAACTGTGTGGAAATTACAATATATGTGGAATGCATGACAAGAATCAGGTCCGGGGGAAGCTGTGTGGGCGGAGGTAGAATAGGGCATAGAAGGGTTAAATGGTGTTGGGGGGAAATATGGAGAAAAAACATCAGTTCAGGAAAATTTGGAGTGAGGAAAGTAAATAGTTACTCTGTAGGGAAGGAAGGAAACCAAACCATTCAAATGAAGTGCACAAAGCACATCAGAACAGATTGTGGGGAGGTAGATAAAACCTAATCCTGAGCTAATTGTAAACAAGCAATGTAATGTTG